CATGATAACATCGATTATCTTGCAAAAAAGAATACATTCTCACTAAAACCTTTCAAAGACCACCAAGGCTTTTAAAAACTTCAGATGCCTAATTGCTAGTGGTTTGTAGACAGAGTAGAGGAACACGTATTTCAACCTCCATTGAAAACTAGTTCACCTTACCTCCAGGACTGGTTGTTTACAAAGAAGTATATTTTTGATTTGTAGAAAACAGCAGCATCGATTGCTTGGACAGTGCTTGGGAAGCCATAGTTTGATATATGCTTGGGATAACCTTGCTGAATGTCATAGCCACTCAGAGCCCAGTATTGGTTGCCTGTCAATGATTCATGTTATATGTTAAATAACGTTCCATTCCTACGAGATAATATATATCACTTCTTGGTCTCTGCATAAATTCATCGTATAAATGAAAATGGGAAAAAATAGTCTTTAAAAGATGAAGGTGTAAAGATAAGTTCATGAGGGCTAATGATAGCCCTAATGGTTCCCCAGTACCTATTAAAAAATTCAAAGTTCTTAGCCTGACATTCAGGGCCCCACCATTGGCTATCTTATCCTGTGTGACTTCTATACAGAAACGAAATTACAGCCTTGAGGAATCTTATAAAATTACATCTGGGGTGAGGATGGAAGAATACAAATGGTAGTCTAACGTGGTCTTCTCATTCTGTTGATGAGAAAACTGCAGGCTGAAGAGGATAAGATCTGCTTAAATTCACCCAAGTTAGTGGCCAAGGTGGCACGCAGCCCTGGTCTCCTGGCACAAGCCTGGCCTGCAGAATGCTGCATAATGCTCTCCTTTCCGAACCAGGAAGGAACCACAAGGAAATCTTGCCTCTCCCTTCAGGCAGAGCTAAATAAGGTTAAAACTTTAGGAAGTTACCTTTAAATAGGAAAACCAGGTCCCTGTCAGAATCTTCATAAGCAGCCTGTATACCATTTGGCAGGAATGGCCAGAATAGAGAAATAAAATCGAGTTCAACTTTTCTTAGCTGAGGGTGCCTTCTCCAGAAATACCTAATGGAACATGAGAAACACACACACACACACACACACACACACACTAGTGTAAGTAGGCAGTTTCTGTGATTCTCGCCCTAGGAATGGCTCTTATAAGATTGCTGGGAGGATATACCAACATAATGGATGCGAAGTTTCTAGCACAGTGCCCAGCACATGGCTGAGCTTTATGGTGAGTACTTTGCAGTTTTCAGAGGAGGTCACAGGAGTGATCTTAGTTGATTACATTTGGCCTTGTCCCCTCCTCACTCACTGACAAATCTTCCTTTGTTAGGATCTTTCCTAACAAAGAAATGAACAAGTTTAGTCCCCACTAAATGAAGAGAATATATAGGCATTGACAAAAGCAACGGCATACACGCTCAGCCTGTGAGTACATAAGCACAGAATAGCCAGTGGAAACATGGACATTTCAATCAGTTAGATGATTTGCCTCACCGCTAGTTAAGTGAGAGTTTCCATTTACTTGATTGGTTTTGGATGGAATTGAATGATGTTTTGGTGTCGGGTGTTTTGGTGTCAGCTACGGAGTTCTCAAGCACCTATAGCCCGTGCCTGTCTACATTACTACAGACACCTGAATATCTGTAAACATTTTAGTTTTTCTTCTTTTTTTGATGTTTTGAGTTACCCTGAAAACACTAAAAGTTTCAATGAGATTCATACGTGTAGAATTCAAAGGAAAAACTCAGTAATGTTGACTTAATTAGAATCTAGTTGTAAGGTATGCCAGTAAGAGAAGTCAGAGGAGGGATAGTTCAATTTTATACCTGTCTTTAAAGAAAAGTATTTCTCCACGAAGTGTGGTTATAGCATCAAACGTGTAGAATTCAAAGGAAAAACTCAGTAATGTTGACTTAATTAGAATCTAGTTGTAAGGTATGCCAGTAAGAGAAGTCAGAGGAGGGATAGCTCAATTTTATACCTGTCTTTAAAGAAAAGTATTTCTCCACGAAGTGTGGTTATAGCATCAAATGTCAACCTGGGGTCACAGTTTCTGGGTGTGCTTGGTCCAGTAGGTTGGATAGGGTTGTTTGATGGTCCTGAAAAATAAAACGGCTTTCTATAAGCATAAGTTCAGCATGATTTTTAGTGTACTTCAGGCACTTCTCAGGAATGTGAAGTGTCTTCATGTGAAGAGAAATGCCACCATACTATCCCAGACAACATTAAAGTAACTGTACATTTGACCCTCTTAAAGTTTCTGTTCTTTTGTTTGTTATTTTAATAAGAGTAAAGATGGTTTTCAGGGTCAGCTCAGGTTAAGTTGTGAAGTGCAGATATCTGAATTCTATGCCTCCCCACCTTAAATCCTAATCCCATCCTACTCCCCCTTCTTGGTTCCTCTTTCTGCTTTTTTGGTCACTCAGTCTCCACCTACCCCTTCCCCACCCAAGCCCACTTTCAAGGAAAGGACCTGATAATAGTCTTTTACTGCAAGTCAGATTTTAGCAATATTTTGTTTAGATGTATTTGCATTTTAATGTGTTCTCTCCTTTGTAGAATGAAAGGCCATACTAATACTTAGGAGAATTTAAAACCCGGGTGAGCAAAGGAAGGCAGTGTTTTTAGGGCGGTGGGGGAGGAGTTGGGGAACAGAGGCAGTTAGAGTAGGGCTCATCATTCCTGGAAACTCTGCTGTCATGAAAGATTCCCTGGTTGTGGCACCCTGGCATGCTTGATTTTATAGTGCTCTCCCACCAGAGAGGAGAGTGCTTTCCCCAGGTCCACTCCTCTCTGCTCCCTATTCCTTTTCATCTCACTCCACTATATTTCTTTCATTCCATTCCACTGCCCTCCACACTTTTTAGAGAGTAGCAAACCCCTTCCCTGGTTTCTTGTCCTTACAACCATGAGGGAGCAGGTGTGTGTGTGGGGGGCAAGTGGGAGGAGAGACGCAACGGTCTCACCCAGGCAGTGCTTGCAGTGCTTCTTGCATCCGGGCAAAGGCCCCTGCACCCTTTCCTGAAAAGTATCAGTCCTGCCTTTTTAAAAAATGTTTCTTTTTCTCTCCATACTCCACTTCCCTTCCCCTTCTCCCACAGACGACTATTTTAGTATGTTTAATATATACCTTTTTGTTTGCATGTTTCTTGAAAATGCTTTGCTTTATCTATATACATTTTAATTTATCTAGACTCATATATTATGTAATTTAATTTATACATTGTGTAATATGTATTATTCTGCCTCTTTTTCACAAAGCACAAAGTTTTGAGGACCCATCTATGTTGTTGCCATACGTACATCTAGTTTTGTGCTTCTCACCGCTGCACATCACTCCACGGTGTGTATGCACCACATTTTACCTGTCTAGTCTCCTCTTGATAACCCCCAGGTACCCACCAACTTCCACCACTGCAAACAAGACTGCCGTGAACACACTTGATGTGACTTGTACAGGTCCCCTTATGAACCTATGTGAGAATTTCTTTGAGAAATACATCTAGGAGTGGGATTATTGTAGGAAAAGGGATGGTCATGCCTTTTTAGAATATATAAAATTGGAAATAAAAAAAAAAGGAGGAAAAAATCCCCACCATCCAGAGACAAAGACTGGGAACTGCTGTGGTGTATTTCTTTTTAACCTTTTCTTTAAGGCAGCAATAGAGGCCCAGCCCCCCAGGTCTTTTTTGCTAATGTTATGTGACTGGTGACTTTCAGAGTTCAGCTTGAGCTTTCCCAGAAGACAGAATCTGAGAGAAGTGCAAAGGGAGAGGTACTCAGATCCCAGGCTTGTCGGCCTATTTTCAGGTCCCACCACATACTGGAGGTGTTCTTCAGATGATCTTACCATAGATGGCCTGAATGCCATTGATGTCATCTTGAGGGAGCGAGTAGGTACTGGGTTCACTGAAAGCGTAGTTGGGATACATCAAAGCACCAGGGTCAGTGGAGTGAGCGAGCCCCAAAGAATGGCCAAATTCATGAGCAGCCACAAGAAACAAGTTGTAATCTGAAATGCAAGCATGTGTGGTGAGTGGCTCCATGTGGATCTGAGGGTGGTAGGGGTATGATCTCAAGGAAAGCAGCTTCCAAGCTCAAATTGCCTGGGCAAACAGCCCTTCCATGCCCTTCTTTTTCATCTTCTCTTCAGGTACATGAAGGAATGGAGAGTGGAAGGAATCAAGGTACGAGTCACAGGTTGGAATTAGGTGAGTATGAGTTTCTCATAAAATCTTAGAACCAAGAAAATCTACCTTTATTCCAATCCCCACATTTTATATATACGGACCCTAGGCTTGGAGAAGTGATGGCAGAGCCACAGGTCTCCTGACTCTAGGGACCCTGCTCCTCTTGTGCTCTCACGCCCACCCTCTTCAGTGTCCCAGACCCTCAAGCTCATTAGTAGAGTCTCAGTGAGCAGGTATTAGAGAAGGATCCAGCTGGGCAGCGGAGTGGCCTCAGAGGCAGGGCTGACTCACACTAGCTACCTAAGCACCCGCAATCTAGCACCTGCTCTCCTCTGCTTACAAGCTCTCCAAGCATCTCTAGAAACTCTCCATGGAAGAGAGACAAACCTTGCCTCTTACTGCTCTCATTCTCCAGCTTTTAACTTCCATGAGCATAGTACCTTCCACAACTGGAGACTTAAAACTTCAAAGGATCCCACTTCCTATCAAATAAAGCCCAGGCTCCTCTGCCTGGCCTTCAAGACCTCCCCCACCCAGCTGCAGCAGATGTTTGAGGGCTTGACTTCTGATGTGAATCCTCCCATCCAGCCAGTCCATGTGCCACCTCACAAACACTCTGTGCATTTTCCTACATGCCTACTTAAAAAAAAAACATTATGGTGGTAGACTATCTACCATATGCTAGGCAGTGTAATATTATTTAGTTCTCACATTTTTCTGAAATTTTATTGGTGATATTTTTACAGTAAAGGAACCGAAGCCCACACATTTTGAATATCTTGTTATTGGTCTTGCAACTTGTATGTGGTGGATCTGGGGTGGAATCCAGGTATGATGTCAGGACCCATGTTCTTACCACAATGTTTGACTTTCTGTTGATAATTAGCCTGGTAAAATTTTACCCATGCTCCAAGACTTTCTTTCATATTATCACACCCTTCCACCTGGCATTCAGGAGTGCATTTCAAGAAAACATCTTTGAGTGCCTGGAGCACTGTGCAAGGGACTGTGGGGAATTTGTTGTGGTTCTCTGCTCTCCAGCAATGCATAGTCTAGAAGGAGAGATAATGTGCAAACAGCTTGAATGCACAGAATGATGAGTGAGAAGAGTTAGAGAAGGAGATGCAAAGGTTGTCAGAATCCTGCAGAGGAAGTTTTCATTTCCAGCTGAAGACAAAATAGAAAGTGACCTCTGATGTAGCTCATAGCTCTCATCACGGATAGATGAGAGAGATTTTGAAATATGGGGTTTGGGGCATGGGGAAAGGCATTTCAGGAAGAGGAAGCAATGTGAGCAAATGTAGGGAAGATGAAAGCCACATTGTACATTTACTAGAAACTGTACATGTACAATGTGGTTGGTGTATGTGAAATATGAAGACAAGCCAAGAAAGATGAGGGTGGAAAATCACCAGGAACCGTCAAGGCCAAGTGAAGGTATTTGAACGTCATTGGGTGCAGAATATGTAAACACTGAAACTTTCAATCAAGAGAGGAATATGATCCAAGATGAGCTTTCCAAAGACAAACCTTGCTCTAATTCTAGGAAAAATTAGAGGGAGCAGAGATTGGAGGTGGAGAATCCAGTTAGAAATCCGGATCATTAGGTTTGGATAAGAGGTAGTGACCATTTGAACTAGTGGGGAGGGCTATAGGAAAACAAAGCAGTGAAGAGTTGTTACTTATCTTTGGGTACACACAGCGGATCATTAGGTTTGGATAAGAGGTAGTGACCATTTGAACTACTGGGGAGGGCTATAGGAAAACAAAGCAGTGAAGAGTTGTTACTTATCTTTGGGTACACACAGCTCCTAGCCTAGGGACTTAGAATAGACACTCACAATATATATGCTGAGAAAATGGCAGGAGGAACAAGTGCCCAGCAAAGGTAGATGGTGCCTTTCCTATTATTTTCTGAAAAGTGCTGTCTGGCATTTTGTTACCTCATGGCCTTGTGAAGTGCCACATGGTCTTGATGTACCTCTCCTCAGCCTCTTTTCTTCCCTTCAGGCAGCCCAGCTTTTCTTATTATGAGTCTCCTCCTAAAAGGAATGGTTTTCTGCATAGGAATATACCATTGCAAAGGAGCTCTAGGAAGATGAAATAACTAGATGAAAAAGAACGCGGCTGCTCTTCAAAAGAAGAACTCTAAATAGGACTATTTTCTAAATGAATCCAATTATTTCTGAATTTCTAAAAATAGGGACCTTTTAAAACATCATTCAATTTCAGCATATTAAAATAAAGATATACCTTAAAGCAATGATCAGCAAACTTTTTCTGTAAAGGACTAGACAGCAAATATGAGTATTTTAGGCTTTGTGAACCATATGATCTCTGTTGCAACTACTCAGCTCTGCCATAGATGATCTATAAAGGAATGAATGTGGCCCTGTTCCAGCAAAACCTTATTTATGCAAACTATGGTCAGGCAGGATTTGCCATGGTCTGTAGTTTTATGATCTCTGTTCTAGGAAATAAGGCCAGTCATTAACTTCAAGATCTTTTTTTTTTTTTAACCTAAATTGATTTAGTCTTGAGGTAACAACAATCTTCAATGGTGAGTTTGTGTGAGTTTAAAAAGTTATATACCTTCTCTGTCTGTGTGTGTGTGGCAGGGGGTTTGGGGGCGGGATTCTAATGTGGAATAGGAAATAGTCCAGAAGCTGTATGTGGACATAACTTTGCTTAACTTACCTATGTTGGTTTTGGTCCACGTTTCTTCTGCATCAAAATGAGCATCTCCTCCAATACCTCGGCCTGGCTGAAAGGCATGAGCAAGGATTCCATTGGGTCCATCAAATGGAGAATTGTCACCATGATCTGAAATAAGACAATTTGTACTAGGTTTTTGCCTAGTTTCAGGTTAGCCTGAGAAAACAAGACTGAGCACGACTGCTTTGAGCCTACCTCCTTGGACGAAAGAAATCTCGATGTCTGCTTCTCCCTGAGACATCCTGGTGAAGATCAGGGGGGATACAGCACTCCAGAGTCCAAAGGCTTTCTCAACAGCCGATTCTACATCAGCCTCTGACAACTGTGGGGTGTAGTTTACAATCCTACAAAATGAGAAGGTGTAAGAAGCGTTCGTTATTGTTTAGAAGAGCAGTCCATCAACAGAGTGAGTTGCGTTAGTGATGTGCTACTACTGGAGGGGGTAGAAGGAGGGAGTGCTAGT